CGTGGGCCCCCGTTCGGCAGGGCAGAAGCGCCGCCAAAGCCGGGCAGGGGAGTTTGCCGGCCGCTTTGGGGGCTCAGAAGCGCAGGGCGCAGGAGCAAAGGCCTCCGACCTTTCGCTGCTGGCGGGGACTGCTGCGGAAGCCAGAACCCGGGAGACCCTCCCCGCAAATGCCCAGAGGAGGATGGGTGGGCTGTGGCATCCAAGCGCCACGGGCTGTTCGGGGTGCTTGCGAACGCCTTTGTTGAAAGCAGGGCTGGCGGGGGGGTGGAGTGGGGGGGCTCCGAGGGCGGATATTGGTGCAAAGGGGAGGAAGTTGAGGGCGCTGCGTTTGGAAATGGTGAGTTCTTCTGCCAAGGCGGCTTCTGGAAGCCCAGCCCTTCCCCTTTCGCGAACGAGGGAGGGGAAGACCCTTCTTTGCGGGCACCGGGGCCTTTTCAGTCGGCACCTTGCACAGACGTCGGGGGCAGCTCCTTTAGTGTTGCCTAGCTCTGGTGAGGCACGCGTGCGGCTGGACACATGGGGTGTGATTGTGTGCGTGTGTGAGTGCAAACCAGACGCCTCTCTTTCCTTTCCTTTGTCACCGGTGCCCTCTCCGAATTTGCCAAGGGGGCGGAGAAGATGCAGCATTTTGAATCGTCCAGTTCATCCAACCGGTGCAGAGCGCCCCCCTCTTTTTGGGGGGATGTTGGGAGAGAGAAATGCAGTGGCGTTTTGTGGTCCTGCTGGTGTGACGGGTGATCTCATCTCTCAAAGTCGGTGCAAGTCATGCTTGGTCCCTTCCAGCTGCCTTTCTGTGCTGTTTTACTGCATCCAGGTGCCAAAACAGTCCCCAAGTTTTACCTGCCCCGCTGTTTTGGCACAATTATCCTCACCGTATTGAACTATTCCCCGCAACGTAAGAGGCGTGCTTTCTGGTCCCTGCCCCAGAGAACTTACAATCAGCGTCCTCAGTGCAGGAAGGGAGCAGAAAAAAGCTGGTGTCAACCATGGAAACTTGGGCGCGTCAACCGTAATTTATAACTAGAGTTCTCTCTCTTTTTTTTTTAAAGGAACCGTAGATCACAGCTCTAATATCTCCAGCACGCGTTCCCAGCAGAGCAATAGCAGCAGCAATTAATAAATTTTTTTAATGATCGCTATCGAGCCAATTAAAAGCAGGCTTGAGCAGGCAAGCCTTGATTAAAAGCAGCCAGCGGAATCTCTGGCCTTCGGCTCTGTCGGAATTGAATAAACGGAGCATCGGCGCTCCGTAGGCAAGGCCAGGCCACCGCTTAAGGCTTCCGTCAATAGCGTCAGACTGCCCGAGGGACGGGCACGCCGTCCGCTAACAAAACCTAGAGTTGGCCCTTCATTGCCGGTGCCAGCTTCGTGCAGCAGGGGAGAAAAATTACAATTATGCAGCCACCAGGACTTCGATTGAGCCCTCCCATTTGAAGGCAAATAGAACCCCATTCCAACTACTGTGCAACTCCATGTTTCTCACCCTTGGCCCCTTGAAGATGCATGGACCCTAGCCAGCATGGGGAATTCTGGGAGATGAAGTCCACGCGTCTTCAAATGGCCAAGGTTGAGAAGCACCAGGATAGGTAACTTCTGCCTAGTCTCCTAGAGTGAGTAACGGTGGTCTCCAGGTGACCGCAAGCAAAAAGCCTTCCTACTACATCTTATGACTTACCTTGCTCCCCCCCCCCAGTGCAAATTACAATGCAGGCTTCCTTCTTCCCCACCTCCTTTTTTGTGGTGGGGTTGGTGTTTCGCTCAGCTTCCGGTCTAGTAGAGTTAAATTTTGCCTTTGCATCTCTGACTTCAACCCCATCTAGCTTTGCTCGGCAGGAAATGACTCGGTTGGCCCTTTCAGGCTGGCATCGCCCACGTCCGTTGGACGCAGCCACAGCACCTCTCCGAGCATCATTTGAGTCGTTTCATTTCTGTGCCGTGCGAGAGAAGGTTGGATGGGTCTCGGCCCGGCGCGCTCTCCAAAAGAGGGAAAAAAGGCTCCTGGCGGCACGCCGGACTTTAATTCTCTAGGATGCACTGCTTGAACGAATTTCTTGGAGCGTGTGTGAGTTGTCCAACAGCCTTGTGGAGATCCAGAGGAGAAGCACGCGACTGCTTTTGCTTTGGGCTCGGATAAAACGCACAGCGTTCTCCCCTTGGCTAAATTTGGGTGCAGTTTTAATTAATTAATTAATTAATTAATTAATTAATTTTGTGCACAGGTGCACACACAAAGTCTAGAACATAAATCTGGGCTTCAGCACACCTATGTGCTTGTGCTCCACATCTACCCAAAGTGCGTCCTTGCTTCAGACTTTGCCTCAAACCTGCGCAATAAATCTTGCTGTTCTTATACGTGGGTTTAGCCTGTTCTAAAACATGCTGAGGAACATCTCTGTTTGCATCCAGCAAGGCTGCTGTTTGAGGACCGTTTTGTCCTTAAAACCTTTGGAAATTTCCCCTTCTTTCTTCAGTCCCACCCCACCATATGTCTGGGACCCCTTAATCACAAGGCAGCTCTTCCCAAACCTTTTCGAAGGGTTGAAAACCTTGGCACCATTCCTTTGTCTCTGTAATTAAGTACTTATTTCAATGATGCCAGCTTAAAAAACTATTTTACCGCCCCCCCCCTTTTCTGGTGTATTCCCAAGTTTGAATATTAGCGGCCAGGTTTGGGCCCTTTGCTAAACCATAATTAGCAAGCTAAAGTTAAGTTTGTCTAACATAAACCATGGTTTTTCTTGGATTATACTGGCTGGTTTAAAAAGTATGATGTTTGGGTGATTTATGCTAGAGTTTAGGTTACAAATACAGATCACACGTAGATTCTCCTGGATGAGAAAATATGCGTGCTAAACTCACGGATCATGTTCAGCTTTGATGCGGTGTCTTTAGTGTTGAGGTGCAACATGTCATCACACCGTTGCAGACCAGAATCATAAGCTACGTGCGATGCAAGACACTGGTTTCTTCAGCACGCTGTGGTTAAAACAAAACATAGCTTCGTGTGATGGTTAAACTGGATTAAACTTTAAACTGGATTATGTTAGGCATGTTTTATGCCTAACATAATCCAACTGACAAACTTATTTTCA